CCATTGATATATCGACAATGATTTCGACAATCAATTAGCGCACGCGCGGCAATCATTCATTAGTCTTTACGTTAAGTTTTTTTTTCGTATCCGAATGCATGATCTGTTAATTATTCGTCGCGACGATAATTAAAATTGATTCCTCGATGCGTATCGCGGAGGGAAGCAGTTGTTTGGTGCATTTGCATAATGGAAAAGTGTCGGAACAATAAAATTCCACATTCCATTAAGCTCCATGTGTGTGAGCGGCCGTTAGTAGCGGTGGTGATTCGGCATTTAGTTATTTTCAATCTGGCCGTGTGTGCGCGTGCGTGCTTGCCGCGTCGTCCAAGAGCAAAAATATTAACGAGAGTGCTCTCTCACAGAGCGCTCCGTCATCCTCGCAAATCTCCGCGTTGGCAAGACCGTAGACCACGTTGGCGCACAAGTCGTTTTGTGGGCCTCCTTTGACTCTCGCTTCCCTCTTCTCCCACTCTTCCGGGACGAATAAAACCGGGAGGCTGATGCTCGCGAGAGAAGAGGCTCTCGACCGATAACGATTAATTAAAATAGCATCCTCCCGTATGATGAGTGATGGTCGTCGCTGGTGGATGGTTATGTTCTTCAATTATCGCGCGAGTTATCTCTCGGGCGAGAGATAGCGAGACTCGAGAAATATTATTCGGTTTTCGCGCGTACGGGCTCGACATTTTCGCGTAGATGTATATAAAGCGCCGAGAGAATTCTCGTAAGCGTAATTTGGCGAATCTATCGGGCCGTTTCGAGAGAGCTGTATGTGCGGAGGAAGCCGGGGGTACATAGAGCGGCTGCGTGACCGTCGCGGTCGCCGCGGGTTGAGAGCACCGGCGCGGTTAACCGCGGCAACCGCAGCGACCGGTTCGTAGCCGCCTGTCGGCGCGGCGCGGTGCGGTACGGTAGAGTGTCTCGCTCGTCGGCGCTTTTCGCGGTATATTGCGCCCTTCCTCTCGCATTCTTACATCTTCGTCGCACTCTCGCGCGGTGCGGCTTCCTTCCAATTCTCCTCCACCATTCCGGTGAGCACCGAAGCCGAGCCGGGCTGAGTCGAGCCGAGCCGCGTCGGGGACACGTAGAGGTATCCAAGTTGCGAGCGAACACGCAAACTGGCAAGGCAAGGCAAGGCAAGGCAGGCAGGCAGGCAGGCAGGCAGGCGAGGCGGCTTCGCGTAAACCGCAGCCGACCAAGCGCGACCGACAGCTTCGCCAACACTCCGCGGCACTACCTTATATTCCTTCTCGCCCCGTGAAAACAAGATAAAGAGCCGGCCGGCGAGCTTGGCGGACGAGAGAGCGCGCGGTTGTGGACGCCCAGCGAGGAGGATAGACTCGTTCGGCGCGTACCGCATTGAATCGCGCAAAAAGCGCACGATTCTCGCGATAAACCGTGATCGCTGTACGTACGCGCGCGCGCGCGCGTCGCGCTTCGTCGCGTATTTATTATATTTCATTAGGGAAATGTTTCTCTCTCTCTCTCTCTGTCTCCTCTCTCGGTCTTTCGCGCACGTCGGGACGTGTCAGAGGAGGGACGAAGCGTCGCGCATACGCGTACGCGTATTATCCATCCCGCGTTCCGCGGAGCATGACAATGGGCTTTTCTAATCCTCCTTTGGATTAAGGGTCGAAAGCGGGGATGGTTGCACGACGCGGCGCGGTGAGGCGTGCAGCAGCGGCGGAGCGTATGGCGCGGTAGGGCTGGAGAGAAAGAGGAAGAGGGAGAGGGAGAGAGAGCTCCAGGTAATGGGATCGACGTTTCGTTATGTTACTTTTCCATTCTCATCCTCGGCCTCTATACTCTAGTCGTCCCGGCCTCCTTTCCCGACCCATCCCACGCAACCCTGACTGCACCCAGCCTTCGGTGTCTCGGTTCGTAGGATCCATCCAACAGCGCCCTCCATCTCCACCTCCTCATCCTCCTTCCTCCCTCGGGTCCGTGTTTTTCCTCGTGTGGCCCCCTATTTTTCATGTTTCGCTGCGGCTTCGCGTAGCACCTTTATTCAGTATAGGTACGTTCTCTCCGCGGAGGCTCGAGGGGACGAGCGAGCGAGATCCGCGCGGACGCCACGTATGCGCGTCATCTGAAAAAGTCGCCGCGCCATTGGCCGAGGTCGCGTTTTCATTCGACTCTTTGCCGCCGCCGAGTCGATCGGCCGCGCCAGACGGCGCCGCGATTGGCCAAGTGTCGGCTAGGCCGGCGTCGATTGGTCGAGGTTGCGATCACGACGGCACGGTCCACGCGGAGTCAGCGCCTTTACGAGGCGAGCGGACGATAGCGGCAATCAAGTAGGAAACTGCTTGGGACTGTGTGCCGCGCGATATTCACATAGGGGCACCCCCTTAGCACACACAATCGCGCGTACAGGATGGTACTCGCTACACACTCGCGCACACTCCTACACGTGTATACACACATACGCGCACGTATACGTGCTATACATATATATTCCGGTTATATCTCGTACGTGTGTGTGCGTGTATGCGCGCGCGCCCTGGCGTACGTGTATGTATTCTCCCCCTCTCTCGCTCTGTCGCTTTATGCGGAGCTACGTTGTATAGGGGTTGGGAAAACGGGTGGAGGCGCCATATTTGTGGTAGTGTGGGAAGTGAGGGAAATCACGAGTGGCGAGAGAGGCAGCCGGTCGACAAGCGGGGAAACGAGGCGCGGGGAAAAGCGCGACGGGGGATGGGGGCGCGGGGAGGAGGGGCGAAAGGGAGTTTACGCGGACATCCGTGTCAGCCCGGTGACGGCCATTTTGCGAAAAACTTTCGATTTGTTTGCACACGCCGTAGCGAACCCGGAGGAACGACTAATACCGACGCGTATGCTCGGCATGCGGCGCCTCCCTCCCCCGCCTCTCTCTCTCTCTCTCGCTCACTCTATCTCTGTCTATCCTCGTACTATACCGCGCGCCGCGCGTATCCGTCCGCGACTGAGAACTTTTCGGTACCCGATGGACCGGGCGTTTCTCCGCGCCAAGACTCACAAAAATCCAAGCCTGTAGTCGGAGCAAACTACTCGTAGTCGAGTACCTCCCAGCGGAATAACGACGCCGGGTAAGCAACGACTTTTTATTAGTCACCGTCTCTCATGAGATTGATACGCCGAATCGCTTAAATTCCGAGGGGCCGATCGAGCGCGAATATTGTTTGCGCGCGGTTCCGCGACGCTGTGTCGTCGTGGCGATAATGCCTTCACGTAGCTACGGCAGAAAGAAAAGAAAAAAAAAAGAAAAACCAGACGGCCGGTAATCGATGTCGATAAAGCATCGGTGAGTAAGAGGGAAAAGAGTGCCGAGTCACCTTTTTGCACGCTCGCTCGCGGAAAAGAACGAATTGGGAGCGCGACGGACGCGTTTCGCAATATCGTCGTAATGTCAAAGTGCCGCCGCTGCGCGCCGTGCGAAGTTGTCGCTCGGCGAGACGACAAAATCGGGGACGCCAGGCCGCTTTAATGACGATATAATTCCATTCCGCTGAAATTGCCATTCATCGCCGACGAGCGACGCGTAAAGGCAATCGTAAAGACTTGCTTGCGCGTGGACGATCGAAAATCACGACGAACATTCCTCGTTGGAAAGGAGCTCGATAAAACGGATCGACCGTACGTAAGAACAGTGGAGATATACGAGAAAGAGAGAGAGGGAGAGAGGGAGAGAGAAGGACGGACGGAGTTTGTAAGAGGGACGCGTAGAGCAACGTTTTAACGAGCCGTGATTTTCGTGCTCGCCTTTTCGAGATCCTTACGTAACGCGACTTAATTGCGAAGGAGCTATCGCGCCGGTTAATACGAGCGTGGAGGAGACGTCAGACGAGAGACATTCGAGGGGATGCTTGGTGGCTTTAAACGCGAAGTAGCGGGACCGTTGGGCCGCGGGCAGCGCGGGGCGCGGTGAGCGACGAGGGAGCGAAGCAGTGGGAGAGTCGACGATCGTGGAGAGGGAGGTTGCGCGGGGGAGGGGGAATACAGCGCGCTCTGGAGGGGAGAACGCGATCTCCCACCATCGGTCTATCCGTCAGTCGCTCCGTAGCCGCTCTCGCGAGAGGTTCGTCCGCGTCATTTGATTCTCGCGCGCTTTTATGACGCTCGTCGCGATTTTCTCGCGAGGAACTTCCGCAAGTGGGATCGACCGCGCTCCGCGGTCTTTCGAGCTTTCACGTTTTCGGCGGCGATCTCGTAGTCGCGATTGTGTGTGCGCGCGCGCGCGCCTGAACGTTGAATTCGCGCTCTTGGAGTAAACAACCGAGTGTGTGCAGTGTGCTAGCGTGTGTGACGCGCGTCAGTGTTGCCCGCGACGTTCGACGACGTTCGACGACGACGACGACGACGCCGCCGCCGTTTCCGAATCGAGGCGAGAGGAGGAGAAGAGGAGGCGGGAGTGAAGTAAATAGATCGCAATAAACGCGCGTGTGTCCGATAAGGAACGTGTGCTCTCGAGATCTTTCGGTGTGTTTCTCCGGCGCGGCGACAACGACGACGACGACGACGACGACGCGAGTTTCCCCTGCCTTACCGACCGAAAAAAGGGTAAGCCGCGACTCTCGCGTTGCGAAGCACAAAGAAAGGCGCGGACACGGCCGTCGAGGAGATCGAGTTGGCCTCCTCGCTCGCCTCGTCCCATCGTGCATCGGCTCGTCTCGGAGCGTCGTGCGTGACTCCGAATGAACGCGACGACCAGCCTCACCTGACCCGGCGAACCGAGAGACAGAGAGAAGGAGAGGCCGCTACCGACCAACCGACCGTTACTCCGCGCGAGTGCGAGAGAGAAGGTGTGACGTTTAAGCGCGGCCGATGAGACGGTAGTGACGGATGGATTGGTGCCGACCGCCGATGGATTTTCGGCGGGGAAACGGGGTGTTGCGAATCACGCTCGCGTACGCGTCGCACCGGAACGTAGCACGTCGTCGCGGGACGACACGTCATCGCCGGGAGTGCCGGTCATCTTCGTCTTCGTCGCGGCCGAGTGGTTCGACGCGCGTTACGAGCCTCCCGGGGGAAAGAAAGAATGAGAGAGAGAGAGAGAGTGGCCCTTTCCCTCCTCGGAACCGTCGTTTTACTTCTGTTATCGGTTGTTGCCCGTTGTGCCGTTTGTTGTTGTTTATTGTTGGTTCGCCGGGGCGCGCTCGTCGGAATAAGCGTGCCGACTGCCGCGCGCGCGACATGACGCGTCTCCGCTGAAGAGCAACGGAAAAGTCGCGTCTCCCGGCCAGTGCAGCGAGACACGTCGTGCAGCAGATACCTTGGCTTGGCGTACCTCCGTGGACGCATCGAGCGGGAAACCGCGCAGGAAGGATGTATCCCAGCGCCGGAATCAACGCAGCCGCCGTGGCCGCCGCTGCCGCCAGGCATCCGGTGAGTAGTAACGATTGTATCAATAACGTAACGATAATAATAATTATTATTATCGTGATAATCATAACTCTGATTGTTTGTTTGTTTGTTTTTGTCCCGGGATCGACGATGGCATTCGGCGTAGATAAACTGCGTAAACCGCAATTGTGTAACCATTAAACAGCCATCGGGTTTAATCGATGTAAATTCTCAGGCCGAATAAATTAGGCTGTGGACGCGCGCCTCTTGATCCCCCGCCGGAATGCGACCGATAACGGCGTCGACGACACGATGAGGCGGGTGATGTATATTTCGCGGAGAGCGAGTGCCGCGATCCTATCGCTGCTTCCGCCGGGATCGGATTAATCGGATTATAAACGCGGGAGATCGCGACGTCGAAGTAGGTTTTACTTCGCTCGCTCCGCGAAATGGCCGTCCCCCCTCCCCCCCCCCTGAGCGTCGCGTTCCTTTTTTCGCGAGACCGCGCCGCGAGTCTTCGGTCTATTTTACAGCACGTTGCATACTTAATGTACCGCCGCGACGCGTCACGTCGCGGCGCGGCGCGCCGGCGCGGACCGGCGCGGTCGTGCCACGCGCGCGCGGGCGATCTGATTTACGTGTGTAATTTACATCGTTGTTAACCCTGCTTAACCCGTTCCTCCTTGATCGCAGGGCGCGTTTCTGACGCCGCGCTCTCCCTCCCCTTTTCCCCCCTCTTGTTATCTCTCCGTCATCTTTTTACCGCTAAATGGATAAACACGCCGCATGATGACGATTTCTTTTTAGAGTGCTCGGAGCTGTCGCGCTCGATTGCGCTCCCGTTACTCCCGACTGCGCGATTCGCACCTCTCGTAACACGATCCGTCGTCATCGACGAATCCGGGCGGCCTCTCGAGTTTCGCCGTGTCGTCGCGTATACGCGGCGACGCTGACGAACGCAATCTCGGCATTCCGCGCTTCGCTCGGGTATATATCGGATTTCGGCCGCCCGCGGAAACTTACTTTCGTTAACGCACGTCGAGGGATCGTCGTGCGAGGAAATTCATGATTACCGGGCAGTTTCGAGGCGACGCGACCACGTGGGACGCACGTGTGACACGTTGCTCCAACTGTAACCGCATATACAATATAGTGCAATATAAATATCGCTAAATTGAATTTGCTCAATATACAACGCGTGCACGTGCACGTGCTTCTCCGCCGCGCGTCGAAAATTCGGCGGTACGAACGCGGAACAATCGCATTCGCCGTCGTCCGACGTTGGCCCCGCGGCCGTGCGAAAAGCATTTCGCCACGGCACGTCGAAATCGTTGATCCGTGAATCGTGCGAGCGAAGAGCCGTCCGTTCCGCGATGGACTCTCGGCGCTGGTCTGCGTTTAACGGCCCGGTCGAGATAATGGCGACTTGGTCGTCGCGCACGACTCGTGTCCAGCTCGCTCGGAGTCGCCGTTGCGTAGTCCCGTCACGTTCACACCGTTTCGCGGCTTTCTTTCTCGCTCGTCGGCATATAAACTTCCATCCGTCCGTTACAGGATATTAACACCTTTTTTTTAGTTTCGCCGGGACGCGCAACGCTCTTGCGTTAAAAACAAATACGCGCAGCGCCCGGCGCGTAAAAATCGCGGACAAACAATTTTTTCGCAACTCGCTAATCGAGTCAGTTAGTCGAACGTAACTCGAACGTGACTCATAGAAAAAGGTATCGCACGCATTTACCGATCATTGCGAATGACGATCGTTGTGACGCGCGAGATACTCGGACGTCACTTTGTGCCGGTGTCGATGACCTGAGAAAAGGGGCCTAGACGCGTAATGAGCAACGTAATGAGAGTTTCAGGAAAAGGGCCGACCCTAAATAATAACAGTAATAATATAGATGCACCAGAGTCGTGGTGAGGTAGGTCAGGTAATAAGCATGTAGAAAAATTCCCTACTAAAAAGATCAAGCTTTAGATTCTTTTGTACGTAGGATATCAATGTGTTTAAGATACACCTAAAGACTACATTGAAATTTTTCTTTCGATTTAATTTATCGTCTATTATATATGTATCTTTGAGGTGTCTCTTCCAAAGTTAAGATATCGATAGCGACTAATATTTACTTACAATTAGCGACTAGAGTTGTCGAGCTGATCTCGACTTTTTTCTATCTAATATTACGATTCGTGCATGTTAAGCCCCCACGTACATACTTGCGTTCAGTGCTGAACCCTATTCTCGAATTCAGTGCTAAACTTTATACGAGAGTGCTTCCTATATCTAACAAGCATATTCCTTCGCGTTTCGAGAGCCTGTATCCACCCCTGAAATATTTTTCGCGTAAACGACACCCCACGTAATCGAATATTACGGAGCTGAAGCGTAGGTAGGGGGCGAAGGGACGATGAGCTATCCATAACTCTACGGGAAAGGACGGACGGTGGTGCGAAGTGCTAACGTTAGTTAGTAGGGTACACGTTGCGAACGTCAACGGGCAGGCAGACGGGCGTCGTTATACGTGCACCCGTACACACGCGCGTATTAGAGAGACCGGACCTCGCCGCGTCGGGTTTACTACCTTCCTGTAAACTGCACGTTGGCGCACGTTTGCGCAGGACCCCCAATTCGGTAAATATTGATACTTTTAATCGGTCTGTTTGCGCCGACACGCTGTTCAAACGCGTCCGAATGTGCACAGCTGAAAAAACGCGGCGACGCGCAACCGGTCGGTCGCGCGGGGCGCGCTCCTTTCCCTTCTCGTCGTCTTCGCCTTCTTCATTTTTAATTCCTCCTCGTCGAGGCGCGACGCGTCGAGATTGCTTAATTAGTAATATGTTAATTACAGCTTACGCAAGACTGGCTCTCATAAGAAATTGCGCGTAGCACAGGAAGCTCGGAGATACTTCTCTAACGATCGTGCTACTCGTGTTTGATCAGATACCCGAGGATTCCTTAAGTGTCTGGAAAGTCACGCGATTTTAAAAGCTATATCTCGTAAATGTTGAAAATTGGAATTTTTTTCACCGATAAACACAGATCTCGGCTACCGCGGTGGGATTAATTGAATCTGAATCCTCGCGTTGCCGCGATCCACGCGTATCGGTGATATACAGTGATACCTACGCGCAACGTTGAAATTCGACTCGGCGAAATTACAGACCGAGGCCGCGCGCGATAAATGCATGCACGATGCGATGCGGATATTCCAAAGCGGAGCTGGGGCAAGGGCCGCGGACTCATTCGGGCCGATTCGGTCTGCCCTGTCCCGTTCCCGGTAATTGCTTGTATTAAAATCCGAGATCTAAACTGACGCGTACACGCGGTGAATCGCGGCGCGTTACGCTCCGCCGCGCCGCGCCACGTCGCGCGCGCATCGCTCGGAAATATGGAATCACGGTGATATCTTGAGCGTCACGTCGTCCATTATGCCGATGCGGCCAGTAAATTTCACGCATTATACTCCCATTATACGTTTCCTGGCCGAGCCGGATCGCGATCTCGTGCTCTCGCCCGACGTAATTACACGGTGCCGCGCCGCCGAATGGATGGAGGAACTCCGCGGCGGGATACGTATGTATGCGCCGCCGCGTCACGTCTTCACGCGTGTGCGTCTGCGTGTGCGTGTGCGTGCGCGCGTGTGCGCCAGCCGTGCGGCGAGCAGCGACGGTTTTAATTTCCACTTTCCTTACCTACGCTTTCTCCTTCCCGTGGTGGTTTTATGGCGCAACGGCCGTGCATCTGCCGACGCTAACGCGTAACGCGCGAGGCGTTTACCGATTTTATCGCGAGACGTCTGTATTTACTTTTAGATACAATTACACGTTAATGCGCGGCGACCGGCGTAGGAAGCGGTTTCGCGTGATACACGCAATCGATGACGGGTCGAGTGAGATACCCTTTTTCCTCTCCTCTCTCCCTCCTTCCCCCATCCTGATCAACACGCTCGATATGACGAGCGATCCGTCCCGTGCCTTTTTGTTTCGTGTCGTTCCGTTTCTTTGCTCAACGATATGCTTTACGACGTAATAAATAATAATCGCTACCGCTGATGCGCGGCCCGAGAGAAAAAAAAAACACGTGTCATGATGATTAAATATCTCGCTGGGCTGTATAATTAGTCGATCGGTGCGATGCGGTCTCTAGAAAAGTCTGACGCGCCACTTCCGTCCGCAGGTGTTCGCTGAGCATGTGAATGAAATGAATAGACGACAGCTCTGCAGATATTCCTAGCTCTACCTGCCGAAATCTCCATGACGATAATCGGACACGAGACCTTCTCTAGGATATTTATTCTCCTAAACCCTCGTGAATTGGTCCAATAAAAGTTTGAAGGAAGTTGAGAAAGCTTTACCTATTAGGTTTCCGCGATTATTTTTAATTTGGCTACCTTTCGTTTTCCGCACCCTTAAATTCTTGAATGGATCCTAATCGTCTTTGTCGTTCCATTCTGACCTGAGCACAAATTTTTGTGCCATGCCGCTGTGAGGATATAATTTTACTGCTAGTCCGGTCAGTTTTTCTATTTAAAAATAAGCTCGCTGTAGAAATTTCTCTTTAAGGAAGAGTGTTCATTTCACACCTGTTATAGAAACGGTATTTGAAAGGATACTTGCTGCAATTTTGCAATTACGCATAAAGTGGCGAATACGGCTTGTGTACTTGAATCTCCGAGTAAAAAGAGGAAGAACGAAGAACTCCGGAGAAAAAGAGGAGAAACTTCGAGGAATCCTCGTCGAGAGATCCCTGCGGGCCTATTCGTACATGAGAATGGCACTAATTGGCATTAGATCTGGTGGTTTGTCAAGTTGTCTCCTCACCTTCTTTTTTTCTTTCTTTTTCGTCTCCCACTGTTTTCATGTTGCACAGTACGCCATATAGAGTAATCTCGTGTCCGAGGTTTCTATTTCGTAATCACGTGTCTCTGCCTTTGTCCCTTTCTTTCTTATTTTTTGATCTTTATGCGTAATAGAAAGTTCAGATTTTACTACCGGGTAAATTTCTGACTGAAAAATTAATAGGATCTTAAAAGAGATAAAAAAGT